CCTCAGTGAGGCCGTGTCTTCACTACTATATTCTTAGGGTCAGGGGTTTTCAAGAGGAAAAACGCCATACACATAAGCTTTCGGCGCTCCGCGCGGATTTCTTGGATCTGCGCTGGACCCCCCTCCCTGGCACGCGGAGCGCGCAGGGGAGGGCGCCGGGGGCGGCGCCGGGGGCGGCGCCGGGGGGCCCCAGCGCGGATCCAAGAAATCTGCGCGGAGCGCCAACAGTTCATGCTTGTGGCGTGCCTTCTTCGCAGATCGGTGAGGCCACGTCATCACTATGTCGCTAGGGTCGGGGGGCCCTATGGTCCTCAAGGATCTGTGTGCCGCTTCTCCTTCCTCGAGGCAGGGCTGCCCGCGCTTCGGGCTGCGGCCCAGCATGGGCTCCCCGCCGGCGCTGGAGGAGGAGGAGGAGGAGGAGGAGGAGGAGGAGGAGGAGGAGGAGGAGGAGGAGGAGGAGGAGGAGGAGGAGGAGGAGGAGGAGTGGAGGAGGAGGAGGGAGGAGGAGGAGGAGGAGGAGGAGGAGGAGGAGGAGGAGGAGGAGGCGGCGGTCGGCGGGTTGGCGCAGGGCGGCGCGCGCCAAAGGCCCCGAGGCCGCACGCGGCCTTGGGCCAGGCGCCCGCGAGAGAGCCGGCGCCCCCAGCGTGTGCAGCGCGTCGGGCGCGTCGGGGCCTCCGCCCGCCCTCTGCCAGGTGCTGCCAGAAGTGCCCCTTGACGAACCAACAACACACACCCATACCCATAGGGGGGTCGGAGAGGGCTATGGGTGCGTGTTGTCGGATGGGGGTCCCCGCTCGAACAGGAGCGTTCCCCAGGGTCCGACAACCCGCACCCATACCCATAGCGAGTCCTCCTCTCAACGACCCCCCTATGGGTATGGGTGTGTGTTGCTCGTTCGTCACCCCTGGCCCGAGGTGCCCCCCAGGATTTCCCCTGAGATCCTGGCGTCTCAATTGCTTCGAGCCGGGCGTTCTAGCTTTCTTTCGGGCCCCGGGGCCCTCACAGATGGGCCCGGCTCGAGAAATGGCACAGGAAAACGCGGTCTAGGGCCCCATGCGTGATTCTGTGCGATGTTAAGTTTTGTTTCGCTACGTCGGATCTCAGGGTGCAAGGAGGCCCCCACGCCCTCCAGAGCTCCGCTCACGAGGCCTCGAGGGCCCCAGGGGCTCCGAAACTCTGAGCGAGAAGCTGGGGTCACCTGTAGGGCAAGGGGCACCTTGAGCGACCCCCGACCCAGAAGAGGGGGGAAGACGGAGAGTCGACTGGCTCTTGAAGTAGGAAGGCGCCTCAAGCAGCTTGGGATCTGGCCATCCAGCAATACCTACTCTCAACGACCGACGCGTACAGCAATTTTAAAAGACCCCTAACCCTTTGGGAGGCGGCCCGAGCCGGGAGGGCCAGAAACATTAGGGGCAGGGGGTCTTTCCTACAGATGTGTCAAGCCAAACCGCCCAGACTTCGGATACCAAATGCAAAGACGGGTACCTAAATGTGAGGCCACGTCTTCACTATGTGATTAGGGTCAGGGATTATTCTATCCCCGATGATCCGAGCCAAACTGGCTACAGTAGTCCTGGCCTCCTAGATGGGGTCCAAGTAGATGGGGTCCGCGGATCGCGCAGCACCGCCGATATATCAGTGATGCATCGGCGCCGTCGGCATGGAGAAAGTCGGGCCCACATCAAGCCGCATCGCTGATGCATCGGCGATGCGGCGCGATCCTCCGAGCTCAACTGCTCGGACCCCACCTGGAAGGCCTGGAAGCAGAAACCCCAGCCCTCCCATGTCTCGAGAAGCTCGATGCGGATGTTTTGCTTCCCGATTCTTCCCCGGTGGGGGCCCTCGCTGGGCCGCGGGGCTGTGAACCATGCTCGACCCACGACTCCGGAAAGGAGCATAGAAATGTGAGGCAGGGCGGCATGGCAACGGCTGCAAGACACCCGACTAGCAAATATGACCTGCTGAATGGGTCGATCGTGACGTACCGTCCCAAGGGTTGCGTTGTGCTGTGCCGTGCCGAATTGAGGTGTGCCGTGCCGAGATTCTGCTCTACTGCGTTGTGGATCGAGTCCTCCTTAGCATCATAATCCTGACCGAGCGGATCTGGGTCTTCAGCTCGAGCTGTCTGAGCACATGGCTGGCCCAAAGCTGGTTGCTGTCGAAACGTGCGGGACGTTCAATCAGCTCGAGCTCAAAATCCGACTCAACTCCGACACGGGACGAGATGGCACGGGGCGCAGGGCGCATGGACGCGCGAGGGGATGTGCCAGGGGCGCACCAGGGGATGTGCCAGGGGGCGTGTCAAACGACGTATTAGAGGACAAGCCCTGGACGCGTCTGGGACCTGTCACGGGACGTACCAAGGCGCGTGCCACGGGGCCTGCTGGAGGACGTCATGCCAGGGGACGCGGCAAGGGACGCGCCACGGCACGGGCAGGGGAACCACTAGAGGACGCCCCAGAGGACGAGCCATGGGACGTGCCACGGCACGCGCCGAGGTGCGTGCCCGGGGACGTACCAGGGGAACCTCTCAAGCGTGACGCGCCAGGGGACGCGTCAGCACGTCGGGGGACGCGCCACGGACAGGCAGGGGGGACGGGCCACGGAACGGGGCAGGAGGAAGCCCTGGCTGCGCTGTGCCACGCGACGATGGGCTGCGATGCGCTCTACCGCGACACGCGTTTCGCTCGAGGCATCCGCAACACAGCCTCAAGTTAGACATCCGCCTGGGCGACCTGGACACGTGGCAACAAGAGCTTCGCTCGAGAGATCCTCAACACATCCTCATGTTAAGCATCCGCCTGTACGACCTGGACACGTGAAAACAAGCGTTTCGCTCGAGATGTCCTCAATACATCCTCATGTCAGGCATCCACCTGGGCGACCTGGACACGTGAACAAAAAGCGTGTCGCTCGAGAGATCCTCAACACATCCTCGTGTTAAACATCCGCCTGGACGACCTGCACACGAGAAGGCAAGTGTTTCGCTCGAGACATCCTCAACACATCATCACTTTAGACATCCGCCTGGGCGGTATCGACACGTGAAAACAAGCGCTCCGCTCGAGACATCCCCGACATATTCTGCAGGACAAGCGATTCGCTGGAGACATCCCCATGTTAGACATCCGCCTGGGCGACCTGAGGTGCTTCTTCAAACAGGCGTTTCGCTGGAGACAGCGCCGTCCTCGTGCGGACTCTCGCAAAGTCAACGGTCTCTACCTTCTTAATCGTTGCAAATTTCAACACACCCCTCATGAAGATTCTGCGCAAAACACTTCGCACCGCTTTTGTTTCCAACGAAGGAAAGAGGGGGCCCGCGGACCCCGACACTTGTCGAGGATGCGACAAAGGGGGGTGTGCTTTCTTCGAGCGGGCAGGCACGAAACACGCCTTCTTAAGCGGACATGGGACTTCACCACATTTTTTCACTGAGCGATTCGCCAGCCCTGCGCAAGCGCAAGGCTGGGGCCGCGCTGACCATCCGGAACGGAACCCTGGGCCACGGCCCTCTCCGGAAGAGCGGCTCGGGGTGGGGAGAGCCGGCGCGGAGGCGAAGGCCCGGACTTTCTGAGGGGGGCCCGCATGGGGAAACTCAAGAGATCGGAGGCCTGGGACAGAAGATCCGAAGTCTTGCTAGACTTAGGTCGGGCATGTACCCCTACGGGCGGATCCTGGGCGGAAGAATAAAAAGTTGCCCAAGAAAAAGCAAACACAATAGAAACATCGTCCCCAGACAATTCTTGGACTTATCTGTTTGATATTCCTCCTGCAGAGAGAGACATGCCCGACTTAATGCTAGAATCGCCCAAACTAAAAATATGGGGGCACGCCCTTCGTCGATCTTTGAACGCCCTTTGGGTGTCCAAGGTCCTCTGCTTTTGTTTCCTGGGGGCCATCGGGGGTCTAGACATGTTCGTAGGGCACCTGCTGCCAGGCCGATGTCATACAGCGCAGGCCAGCCCAAAAGAAGCCTTCCACAAGAAACCCAACCCTGAGACCCCAGGCCGTCCACCTATTTTTGGGTGTGGGCACGTCACGCTGTCCATAGCATAACCACCGAAACCCAAAAAACCCAGGGCACCCTGGAGGCAAGTGAGGTGTTTCTTGGCCACACGTACCCGGGTCACCATTGAACCATCCCATCAACCTCCATGCGTGCGGCTCGTGGGAGCTTGTGAGTCGAATGCGGGCGGTGCTACGAAAAACACAGCTTGCAACGGCCCGCAGCGCAACCGTGTCGAATGCGGGCGGTGCTACGACGAAAAACACAGCTTGCAACGGCCCGCAGCGCAACCGTGTAATGACTTTAATGTTGAGACCTCTGCGACGAATGCGCGCGGCGCTCAAGCGAGAACAGCGTCTTGAAAATGATCATTCCTCCACCCGCGCACCTGTTGGAGACTTGTAGGACTAATGTACAAGCTGCAGTCGGACCCAGGCCAGAACAGAGACCATCCGTCGATCAAAACAGGCAGAACATCCAAGGGTGCCCTCCCTAGGATGCACAAGAAGTGCGAACAAGCACGAAGAAGAGCAATACAGTACCCTCTCCGAACCGACCTCGATCTTATACTTGGCGGCGCGCAGAGGGGGCTGAGGGGGAGGGGGGAAGGCTTCTCAGAAGCACCTCTGCTCCTTGGAAGGCGCGGGCCTCGTCTGCAGATGTCAGGCCGGCACCTTCTAAGAAGCAGCCTCCTTCTAAGAAGCCTTCCCCTCTCCCCCACACACCCATCTGAGAGGAGGAGGAGGGGGGAGGAGGAGGAGGAGGAGGAGGAGGAGGAGGAGGAGGAGGAGGAGGAGGAGGAGGGGGAGGAGGAGGAGGAGGAGGAGGGAGGAGGAGGAGAGGAGGAGGAGGAGGAGGAGGAGGAGGAGGAGGAGGAGGAGGAGGGGGAGGAGGAGGAGGAGGGAGGAGGGAGGAGGGGGAGGAGGAGGGAGGAGGAGGAGGAGGAGGAGGAGGAGGAGGCCCCCACACACCCATCTGCGCGCAGCTGATCCACCTCGGTCCGGCTGTACCTGAGCTCGCGCCCCGCGCCCCGCGCTGCGCGGTCCACCTTCGGGCCCCCTCGCGTCGCCGCGTGGAGGCGGGGCAGCCCTCCAGCCCAGGACCGCGGCGCGGGGGGACGCGCGATCTCTTCCCTCGCGCCCCTCTGCGGGCGGACCTGGGCTCCTCCTCCCGCCCAGGCTCCTCGGCAGGGCTGGACTCAAACATCGCTTTGCGCATCCTTTTCGTCTGGTTGCTCGTCTTGCTCTGCCTGTCTTCCTGCACCTCCCTGCAAACAACGAGGAACAGGACACGGCCGAGGCCCAGCAGAGCAGCGTCTAAGTCCAGCCCTGCTCCTCGGGGGGCGAGCCCGGCCGTGCCGCTGCGGAGCTGGCTCTTTGTCGGCGGCTCGCCCAGGGGGGGGAAGCGAGAGGGAGAAATCAGTGAAACCAGAAGTTGAGATCAGTGAACTTGCGAGTTCACTGATTTTCCCCAAACCAGCTTTCGAATCAGTGAATTGGGCAGTTCACTGATTCTACAAGTAAAATCAATGAAATGGCACATTCACTGATTCTACCTGTGGAATCAATGAATGTGCCCCTTTGGGGTCCTTTCGGGCCTCCTCAGAAGGCTCGGAAGTTCCCCGGCCTTCGGAGAAGGTTTCTAAGCCTGCCGCGGAGACACAAGTAGCCTCTCAAGCTCATTCTCGCTTCCACCCCTCGCTCGCCGCCGATCTTGATTCCAAGCCAGGAAGGGTACACCTGACCAATTTTTATCTCCGGAGCCGCCCCGACTTCCGAGAAACATCGGGGAAACGCTTACATGGATTGCGGATCCGTGGATCTGGCACGCGGACGCCAGATCCACGGATCGGGGAAAGTGCGCTCCGAAACATGACGCCAGTGACAAGTTGTCTTTGCGACAAAGCGCGTCGATTTCGCTTCGGAATAGGTTCCAACGCTAATCCACGCACCTGGATCCATGTTTGCGTTTCCCCTCACCTGTAGATCGACCAATATGGACATATCTCCTGCTCCTCCTCCCGACTGGCTACTCCCGCCCGCAACGGGTCCAACATGATGTCGAAACCGAGGACCTCGAAGCACATGCCATTCTCGCAGTCGTCCGGCTGGCAGCTGTGGTAGAAGTGCGACAAGCTGCAGCGCAGACGAGGGGGGGGAAAGATACTTGCAGTCATCGTTCTACGAGAAGGCATGCTGGATGGGGAACGAAGGGACTCTTCAGGCCGTGACACGAAGAGGTGCACCGATCTAGATCTAAGGAACGGCCCGAAAACCATAGCGCCTCTCAAGCTCGAAGTGGTTCTCAATTCAGCGTCTTGACGATAGAGTGATCACGTTTGGATTCGGCCAAACACTGCGGCAATGCATCGTCTTTGAGAAAGGCCGCCCCTCCATCCTTGCAGCCGGCATCGGAGATACCACCAGCCCTCTGGGCGACGGGCGACTTAGGGCTGGCAAACGAAGCTGCTCTCCATAATCCTTGCAGTCCCTGGTGAAGTGCTGTGTCCACTAACTCCCATCATGGTCCCAACTTCGACTCATGGCCTGGGCGCCCAGGCCTCCTGCGTCGCCTACACGGCAGGACGGCCGAAGACGCGGACACCTGCTTAGTCAATGAGTGTCCCACCATCTGTAGTTTCCAATGTTGTCCCCTGCGGAACCTCTGCTTCGGGCATCGCCCACCTTTTCTTCCGAAGTTGCCGCCAAACTTGCCCAAGAGGCGTCCAAAACGCGCCAGAGAGGCGTCACAATAGCCAAACAGGCTGCAAAGAGGCGTCCGAGAAGCGTCCAAGAAGGCCCTTGCTCGGTCCAGGAAGCCCATCATAAGCTCCCAGAACGGCCTAAAAGGCCCGAAGACGCTCACAAACTTAGCTGCCCCGATACACAACACGCAACAAGTAGCGTATTGATACGGGAGCTCAACACGTCGACTGAACACGTACGTTTTGAACACGGACGTTTTGAACACGGCACGTGTTACGTTTCAAAACGTGCGTATCAGAGCAGCCAAGCTCACAACCCGTTTTAATGGGCCTCAACGGCGTCAGGAGGCACCGAACTATCCTCCACGAGGCCCCCAAGATGCGACTCAGGCGCTCCCCAGAGGTCCCCAGGAGGGCTCCACGAAACAAACTGGGCCGCGTTAGAGTTGTCCAGGACGGCCGAGGAGGAGCGCCAAGATGCAGGCGAGAGCCTCGACAGCAACCAGCCTCAGATGGCCGTTTTGAATATTCTAGCGCACTGCTTCTTCTTGCTGGTTCTCACGCTCCTTCTCTTGATCCTCATCTCTTCTCTCAACGGTTAGCCAAAGCGGGCAAGCACACAGCACACAAAACCGCACACCAGACTATGCACGACTGGACTGGACCAGAACGTATATCCAGACTCTACAGGCCAGAACAGAGTGATGCCACCATAACTAACTCGACATTCTCCCTCTCACAGTTCCTCGCGCGTCTTCTCTCCTTCCTCTTCCCGGTTTCTGCTTCCTCCTTCGGCTCGAAGGGGGTGAGAAATCCCCTTCCCCCTCCTCATCCTCTTCCTTCTCCTCCTCCTCCTCCTCCTTCATTCCTCTTTCTTCCCTGTCGCACCCCGAAGCCAGCTTTTAGGGCGGGCCGGGCGCTTCGCCTGAGAATTCCTCACCATGTATGACTCTGAAGCTTAGAAACTGGCAGCCGTTTCACACATGGAGGGCGGGTGGTTTTCAAAAAGTGGCTCTCGCCTGAGCGCCGCGCACATTCGTTTGGAACAGTTGCAAGAGTTTCACGGGTTGATGGCGGGTCGTTTTCAAAATGTGGCCCTCGCCTCAGCGCCGCTCACATTCGTTTTAAAAGTGTGCAAGAGCTTCACGGATTGAGGGCGGGTCGTTTTCAAAATGTGGCTCTCGCCCTAGCTCCGCGCCCATTTTTTAATGCGATAGTTCCACGGGTTTCCATTATCAGCGACCACAAATGCTGTTTCAGAATGGTTCTGGGTTACGTGGGTGCAACACTTATGTTGGCTCGCGGTGTTGAAGTCCCAAAAGCGGCGTTCTGGCACGATTCTGGATCGCCAAGACGCACCAGCAGTCAGGTTGATCCGTGGCGTCGAAATCCCATGTTCTGGCATGCTTCAGGATCTTCAAACGGATGTTTTCCAACCAGGCAAATCCCTCAACGGAAATGAACCGTCGTGGGAGCCTATGCAGAGGAAGCTTGGAGGGAGGGTCAATTCCAACATCCTTCATGACTCTTGGGTTTACACTGGTCCTCCTCCTCCTCCTCATCCTCCTCCTCCTTCTCCTCCTCCTCCTCCTCCTCCTCCTCCTCCTCCTCCTCCTCCTCCTCCCAGTCCTCCCCTGTCTGTCCTCCTCCTCCTCCCACCTCCCTCCTCTCATTATTCTCGGTCCTGTTCTTTGCACGGTTACCAAAACGAAACCGACCAAGATGACGGGCACGTTTCCAAGCAACCAATGCACAATGGTCGGTGTTTTTGTTTTCAAGTATGTCGAAAGCTTGCCATCCCACCTTACGGGGTAAATTCTAAAGCCGAAAAGGCGTCTGGAGGCAACGCCTTCCCAACATTGCGAATGGCATCATTTTACCCTTCCCCCCTTGGACGCCACGTCCGTAGAACAAGCGAGAACGTGTCAACAGTTTGAATGGGAAGCTTAACGCGTGCTGGCCGCAAGGTCCACCGAACGCTATCGATGCCTTCACCGAAATGCTCTCCAACAAATAATGGGATACCTGAGCAGGCGCAACACACGACCGTGCGCCACAAATATATACCGAGTGACGGTGGTAGTTCTATCTGCTACAATGCACCGCGCTCGTGGACCAAAAGCCACCCAGCCACCCATTGAGTAGTGACTTTAGCGGCTTGGCCGCTTACACTCTCATGCATTGCGAGACCGCACACCGTACAGAAATATCAGATGGTTGCGATTGCGATTCCTCGGCCGGCGCAGGCTCGCACTGGCCGTGAAGACTAAACTGGCGCGAGTCACGTTTGCGCTCGGCTAATATGTTGCCGCATGCGTACTTCGCTAGCACGTCCACCACGTGTGCCTCTGTTGTTATCGAAGTTACTCGAATATTGCCGTCCGACCCTAAAGCTTGGCCACCTATGAACGACTTCTATATTCCCCACCTCGGCTGTGCCTAGGGGGTTCTTACTTGGTTTGCTTAAAGGGGCCGGGCAGTGGAAAACGCCCTGGGCGGTTCCCCCAGTCCCCGACCCGCGGTTCCCCCAGTTGCGCCCCCTGGGTTCACCCAGCTTAGCTAAGCTTAGCTAAGCTAAGCTAAGCTAAGCTTAGCTTCGCTTAAATTCGCTTAGCTTATCTCATCTTAGCTTAGCTTAGCTTTGCCTCGCCTAGCTTAGCTTAGCTTAGCTTGGCTTAACTTAGCTTATCCCATCTTCGCTTAGTTTAGCGTAGCTGAGTCTAGCTTAGCTTGGCTTGGTTTGGCTTAGCTTACTTTAGCTCTAGCCGAGCCTAGCTTAGCTTAGCTTAGCTTCGCATAGCTTAGCTTACCTTAGCTTAGCGCAACAAAGCGCAGCGCAGCATTCGCACAGCACAGCACAGCATAACATAGCCAAGCATCTCATAGCATAGCATAGCGCAGCACATCGTAGCATATCATAGCATTGCTTAGCATCGCACAGCGCAGCATAGCATAGCATAGCATAGCATGTTGCTGCTTTCCTAGAGGCTCAAACTCCTAGGTCGGGTCGCACTGGGATAATGTATTACTTACTTCGTCCTATCCCACCCGCAATGATACTCGCACCGTCGACGTCGCCATTGGGGGGCGAGGACAGCCATCGCCCCAAAGCCTTGCAGACATAACATTTTGAATCCCATTGACACGACCCCCCTCTGTCAACACACCTTAATATTTAGATTCGCCCGATGCCGGCGCTATGACGCTCTGCGTTGAACTCCAAGTCTCTCCTCAGCGTTGACCCCGCATTACTGCGCCGCCACTGCTAGATCCGCGCGACCTCTTACATATGGCGTAACATGTGTCTGCCGACGGAGCCACTTCACCGGACATCTATCAACATTCTGCACGGCGTGAGGGGCTCGCCAAATTTTCGCAATCGGTCTGCGTGATCTCGTGGTCGGGGCTGGCATGTCAGGGGCCACCTCCTTTGCGCTCAACTGCGCCGATGTATGGGCAAATCCTCGGCGCGGCAATTCGCCGCGGCAACTGCTTAAAATTGCACTTGCAGCTCTGGGTGATAACTTCTCCTCGCCATCGACACTCGCGCGCGCGTTCTCTCCCGGCAATTCGGTCCTCGCCTCGCTGCCGCCCAGGCCCAACATGCTCAGTGCGATGTCCGCGTGCCGCTGGTCCGCCCCATGCTGAAGTCCCTCTCGACGACGCTCCGAAATCCGGCTGGGAATGCTGGCCCTATTCGGCCTCTCCCCTCTCTTCAAACTCCTCCGTTATGCTTTGTTCGAGCCAATGCAAGACTGAGTCGGGGCCGTGCGATGCGCAGTCGCCTCCGCGCGCGGACAATCGCTGCTTCCTTGTTCGGCGTCGACGCATGCGCGGCGACGCTGCCCGCTTGCGAACTCCAGGACTTTGACGACGTCAATGTGACAATCCTCCACGTTGCTGGCTGCGCCGCGGGCGGCGCGCGTGGACGTGGGCAGACGCCCGCGCATTCCCGTACTTCTGTCCCCTTTACGTGACTTAGTGAATGTGCTCCTGAGCTATGTCGTAGGAGCGCGCTCTCTGCATGTCGGTGGAACACAGCTTGGAACAATTTTCCAAGTGGACCATCTCGGCAACTGGCGCCCTCGGCTACAGCAGTTGAACATAACTGTTTCTGAGCTTCAAGAGCTGGCGCCGCGCCCGAGATAATTAAGTCCTTCTGGAGCTCTACCTGTCGCGGCCCAGCACGACGTCCCATGATACTTCTCGCAAGCTCAACGTTTCTTGAAATGCCCGAGTGCTCTCGTTCTCACTTTCAGACTGCGTTCGTGATCCATCTCTGCTTCTGACGCATCATCCCAAGCGCAGGCCTCCAGTGCAAACTTGACTGCGCCGCGCAAGTGCCCGGTCTTCTGACAAGTTCGACTGTCGCGACTCAGAAGCTTCACGTGCTTGACAGGTTTTTAGCCGGCCGCGAATTGGCGCGTTCGGCGCGTTTGCGGGGTCGGATTTCGAGCTCTGGCATTTAGGTAAACATAGCGACAACATGCGTTGAACTGTCATTGTAGTCGTGCTCTCTGTATTCCACAAATGTGACTGGTGCGCATGTCTTCGTTTGCTACATCCGCGTCCGCTTTGACTGCCACCCCCCTGATGCGCGGGCTCCACTCCGGGCCCCGCTGACTTGGAAGCGTGAGTCTCGATGATCCATTGTCTCGCCTTTTCCAGCTTATCTCGCACCTCGCGCTGTCACCCATGCTGGCGGGTTCATTGATGCGAATCACCTCGACCACTTCACGGGGGCCCTTGGACTGTCCAGTGCCAGGTCGCCAGACATGACGGTGACACCACGACGCCCCTCTTTTCCAATTTGCCACGCGAGTCCCTTGACAATGCCGTTGCTACGCCCATCCCGAGATGAGATGTTGCCGATCTCTTGATTCGCCAGCCTAAGATTAAGTCCATGCGGAAACGTTGTCCTCTACGCGCCGCGCTCAGGGCCCTTCCGATCTCGCCAGCGTTGGCCATGAATCTGGCCGGCTTGCTCAGGCGCAGCTCTTTGCCGATTACTTCTTGCTTGTTCCATCCCATAAGAACACATGTTCACAATAATGCGCTGCCACTCTTGAAACGCAGCATGCGCTGCGCCGCGCAGGTAGTCCATCCCAGCGTCAGGCTTCTTCTAAAAAACAAAAAGCCCGTTTTTCTCTCTGAACGTCACTTGGCGCCATTGCAGACCTCGAGCGTTTCGCTCCCGATTCGACCCCCCCAATGATTTCCGCGCGACTGGGCCCCCTGGCGCTTCACGGCTGCAGCTGCAGGGTGCGCCAATGGGGTGAAGTAGCACCAGTGCGTCTGATTGTGACTTCAGAACCCCATGTCTTTTTTTGACCTCGTGGCCAGCTCATTGAAGTCTCATGCTTTCACCGAGTTCGTCGCACGTGGCCAGGTCCATAACCAAACTGGGTGCCAAGACCATGTTGTCGGCCACCCCAGTACCTCGCACAGGAGCGCGCATTTTCCTTGCGCGCGGTTGGATGTCCCATGGCCTCTGCCGAACGACCTCGATGATCTCCCCTTGCCTGCGTTTCCACCCGGTCACGCGGTGGTTTTTGCCCGGGCGCGCGATTGTCCACTCGGGCACAGAATCGTTTTCATTGCAGCCCCCGCCCGGCACATTATCAGTTCTATTCGGGCGCAGACTCGTTTCCATTGCAATTCTATTCGGGCGCAGTACCGATTCCATTCGGGCGCGTAGTCGTCTTCGTTTGGGCACCGATTCGGGCGCATTGTGTGCCACTGCCGATTCCAAACAGGGCAGTTGACTCAGACGGCTACGACGCAGTCTGGCCCCCTTCCGCAGGGACCCACTTCCTAGTGAAACCCACTGAAGCGTAGATCAAAGGTACGAACCACATCGCTGCGAACGGGGCAACGATGAAACTTAACCATGGGCAGTGAATCGTCGCAGATAAGAATGAGCGCGACAACCTTCCTGCTCGCGAAATGGTTAAGTCGGGCAACCTCGAACTTGTCGACAGAGGCGAGCATGGGTCACGCAATTGCATTGAACGCGGGGCGAGCAGGGCGAATATGCACGCGAGATTTCGCAACTTCCACATCGACGCGCAGGCCCGCGTGGGCGACAGTACCAGCACACCCTGCCAACAAAAGGTTCGCCATCAATGAAGATTTCCCCCGGCCAAGAAACCTCGCGGAAGTCCTCCTGCATTGGTCCCCGGGAAATCTCGCCCTAAATTCGCGCCGGGATACCTTCTGCGCAAATCGTGCGGCCAGTGCGGACGAGGGCCAGAGTGAAATGAGCGATGTAGAATCCGTATTTGTGGTTGGGGAGTCGGAGGCGACGAGGGAATCAAACGCAACCTTCGTTCTACAAAGAGGGGGGGTGGAATTCCATGACCGAGGCCGCCTTCAATTAAGGCATTGGCGCCCGCGCTTCGTGATGGGCAGATCCAAGGGAGCGGTGCGTCGTAGAATGTTGGCGAGCCAAAACAATAGAGCTCTGCGGTGGCAATCGACCAAGTGCACGTTGTTTGCGGGCAGGAAAAGAGACGGCGGAGAAGCAAACCAAGTTGACCCAGTCATGATCGCGCGCTGCAGCAAGTGACCCCCTGTGGAGCAAAGATCAACGGAACAAAAATAATGGACAATTGCTCAGTATAACGGATGCAAGACATGATGATGTTTGCGGTGGGACATCTTCCGCTCCGCGACCGATTCGGGCACACCGGAACGACCTTATGGATTCGGACATGGATTCGGGCACCGACTGGGGCGCCGATTCGGGGGCGGCCCCGTGCCCTTGTGGCCCATCAGCTCGGGCGCCATTCGGGCGCGGTCGTGCGGGACAAGAGCTGGCGTCGGGCGCGTCGGGGAGTCGTCGCGCGGGCGCCCAGTTCGGGCACGCCGTGGCGGTGGCGGCGGTCGTGGCGGGGATCGGGGCACTGGTGGCGGCGCTGGAAGCTCTCGCGCCTCCCCCACGACGCGCGATCTGCCATGGTTAGACGATTTGTTTGTGAGTTCGCGGCGTAACAGCCTCAGTCACGTCACGTTTGCACGGCGGTCACCCCGAAGATTGTTAGTGATGCATTCGGCATCGTGTTCGTATCGTGGACGACACCCTGTGCATTCATGTAGCCGACGAACGTTTCACGTTGAGTTTGTAGAGCTCGTTTAACCATGGCGTCGCCGCCGTCGTTGTAGGCAGCCAGGCATGTCTGTTCGAGAATCGTCAGGTTGGTCTCGATGTTCCTCGCGACGGAAGCACAACCACTTGTGGGGCTTGTGATGCGGCCCCCGCTGCCGCCAGGTTAACCTCGCTCCGCGGCAATGCAAGCCTACCACAACGAAAACGGCCAGGATAATGGGCAGTTTCCAGAGTCGCCAGTCTTCTCGAATCAACGTCTTTCAGGTCAGACGAAAACCTGCTATGCCACTTGACGGAGCGAATCCTTGAGCCAAACGGCGTCGGGCGGAAATTCCTTCCCAGCATGCCGAATAACATCATCCTGAAGCTCTTTCTTCTCCTCCTGCTGCTCCTCCTCCTCATCCCTCTCCTTTGTCCTCATCCTCCTCTCCCGCCTCGGGGGCAGGGGCGGGCGCGGCGAGAAAGGCGTCTGGCGCTTCGATCCACGGAAAGTCTTGCAAAACGAATATTGCTGGGCCGTTCCGACTTGCACTGCCGAGCTCACAAATCCCGCGACTCCCCGAATGACCCCAAAACTCCGACGCTGCGAGTCCGCTGATCCCGGATCTATTCTTCAGTCCGCTACCATACAGAGCGCCCAATCAGGACCGAAGCGGCTTGTCTGGCCACGGCGAACCCGGGCCACGAATAGGATCCCAGACTCAGATCTAACGAAAGGGCCCCCAAAACCAGACTTCCTCCCGAGGTCCTCCTTCTGACGCCCTGGCTGTGTCGTCCACTTGAAACCTGGGCCCCGGGACAATCAGACAACTTTTTCGGTCGGCGGGGCGAGAGCGAACCTCTTCCGCTAAAAGCTAGGCGGGCTACGCACAGCTTTAATTCGGGAGACAGGGCACAGGCGGGCGGGGCCTCAGGCGGCCAGAGTGGGCGGGGCCCGGGGTGCAGGCGGTGCCGAAGAGCTTGCACAGGAGGTGGTACGAGAAAAACACACAATCAGAAAACAACCTGGGGCGGAGAACCAGCCTCCGGGAGGGTGTCGGGGATCTCCGGGGCCCGCGCGGCGAAGACGCCACGACGACGTCGGGTCTGCGAGCCCCCACTGCTCCCTTCTGCCAGGCCTTGGCTGCACGGCGATCAGTGTCTTGACGATGAGGTCCTCGCATGCCCACCATCGGAGTTAACGCCCCTCCCAATGAAACAATCGGCGGAAGGTGGTGGTGGATGACGAGGAGGAGAGACAAAAAGGAGTAGGAGGGGGAGGAAGGATGAGGGATGAGAAACAGGGGAGGCAAGGGGCGAAAGAGAAGACCTATTTTCGAGGGGGTATCCGCGAACACATATTGATCAATATCACTATTCCGTGCGATTTCGGCGCGAAGCAGAAGCGGAAACGGGGAGGAGGAAGAACGCCACCAAAAGGGACACATAACAAACAGTAAGTCATAACAAAGGCAAAAGGATGCGACAGCGGACGACGGAACAGGACGATAGTACGGAAACGACCGCGAGAGCCAAACACATACCGCCGACTACTCAGCGAAGCGGTCGGTCCTGGTCATCGGCGTGATCAAACTCATCGGTTTTTCCATGCGTGTATATGTGTATATGTAATTGTATACACATACAGGTGTATACACGTGTATACAATCAGCTATCGTTTAGCCAGCGTGGACCCCAAACAACGATCTGTTGCAACCCATGCGGTGCGAACTACGTGGTGCAATTTATTTTAGCAACGAGTTGACACATCCCATGCTCTTGCAAACATCCCTCTCACCCACCCGCAACGTGGTTTGCAACACCCATGCAATGGTGATTGCGATGCATGCTTGGCGTTGGCTGGTGCATCTCTGCGGCCGCGCCAACCCTAGCACGCGCGCCGAGCGGCCAGCTAGTTTGGCGCGACCGACGCGGCCGCGGTGGCGGTGACCACTGGGCACATCCCAGCGGGCACTTCACTAACATCATCGTCGTTCAGCATTGGTGCAGCAGGCACCTCGGGAAGACTCGGGATGCCAAGATCCCCGCAAATTCTTCCCCGTGGCGGCGACAAGCCCAAGAAACGCCCAGAGCTGGCCGATGAACCACTGGTCTGACCAACACCACCTTCGGCGCCATCGAGAAACACTGGGCTGAGTCTGCTTATTTGCTTGTCTTATTCGGCTTGGCCTTCGGAGGAGTACCAGGTGCATCTGCGCGCTCACGAGCAACATCGGGGGCGCTATCAGCAGCGCGACCTGGAAGCCCACCATAATAATTATGACCAAGAGTCCCTCCAAGAGGCGGAAGCCCACCACCATGAATCCCACCATCAGGAAACACATGCGCCCCTCTAGCATAATGAACTGGAAGCCCTCGAACGGGAAGCCTGAAAGCCTGGACGCCCACCATCAAGAAATGCACTGTTGTGAAGAATTGGGGCCCTGGGACAGGACCCCCACAAGCAGGAGGGACAGGAAATCCGTGAACAAGGGGTCCATCACCGCGAAGAACTCGAAGCCCTTGAACACGAGGCGCGCCGTCAGAAAGCTCACCAGCAGGAAGCCCAGCAACATGAACTGGACGCCCGCCACCTGGAAGCCCAGCCACCTGATGGACAAGAAACCCAAAATCGGGAAACCTGCCAGCATGATGAACTGGAACCCGTGAACAGGACGCCACCAGCATTATCTACTGGAAGCCCTTGGCCAGGATGCCCACCTCCAGGAAGCCCAGAATCGGGAAGCCCAGCAGCGGGAGCACGAGAGGTGCATCACCACCTGCACTACCAATGCCACCATGAAGTGGACCAGGACGAAGTACCAAGAGTATACTGTGTTCGCGCCCAGGATCGGCACCAACAATATGCACACACGTTCCTTGGTGAGGTGCTGGATGCAAGAAAGAAGAACGCAGCTGGATATCTCGGGGTGCTGTTCATTCAGAACCCTGACGTGCGACACAACTTTGTCGACGTGGGAGTTTCCCGCGAAGCGTGCCTTCCGTCCCTGCGCCAGCTGACGTGACAACCACTGGAGGCGAACACGAGTGACCGTCGAGACAGCGCAACGAGGGAGAGAGGCGCAGCTGCGCGAGCCCCTCCGCACCCTTTTCCCCTCCCCTCTCCCCCCCCTGCCCCTCCCCCGTCCCCCTCCCTCCTCCCCTCGCCTCCCCTCGCCTCACCTCCCTCCCCTCGCCTCCCCTCGCCTCCCCCCTCCCCTCGCCTCCCCTCGCCTCCCCCTCCCCTCGCCTCCCCGCCTCCCCCCTCCCCCCGCCTCCCCTCGCCTCCCCGCGTCGCTGCTGCCCCAGCCCCTCCACCTCTCCGCGCCCCTCGCCTCCCCACGTGCTGCCCGGGCGCCTCCCCCCTCCCCCAGGCGGGGACGGGGAGCGGGTGGGCGGCGCCCCGCGCGCTGCGCGTACGGCGCGGCCCGGGGAGCGCTGGGACGGGGAGTTCTGCGGGCGCCGCGCTCCGAGCAGCTCTGGCTCCTCGCAGCGCGGCCACCAAGGCGCGAGGGCCCTGGCAGGCCAGCGCGCATCCAGCGCACGAAGCTCTGCGGGCGCTGCTACCGACAGAGGGAGAAAGGGGGAGAGGGGGGGGGAGACAGAGAGGGATGGGGAGGGGCAGGGAGCGGCAGAGGGAAGGGGAGAGAGAGAGAGAGAGAGAGAGAGAGAGCGAGAGAGAGAGAGAGAGGAACAACAACAAAGAGAAAGTGAGAGAGAGAGAGAGAGAGAAAGAGGGAGAAAGAGAGAGAGAGAGAGAGAGAGAGCGAGCGATCGAGCGATGGAAAGGGGGCGCAGGCGCGGGGCAAAGGAGGACGGAGAGGCCCTCCTTCTGGCGCTCCTCCCACATCTACATTACCCCGCTCTCCTCGTGTTCCTCCCCCTCCTCCTCCCCCTCCGCATGCCTCCTCTGCTTTCTCCCGCCATTCTCGAAGGCTGCTCATGGCGACACCCAAGAAGAGAACTAAGCGAACCGGCACAGAACTCGACAGCGAGCCGCAGCAAGCAAGGCAGCCACCGACCATGCACCCAGCGAGCGCAGCCGAGGAGCACGCAGCGGCATAGAAACGGCGCGAGAACCGACCGAGCCGAACCGATCGAACGCAACCGATTGCGGCGCGGCCGAATCGAGCGAATCGTGCGCTCCATTCCTCCCTCCTCCCTGGCCCTCCTCCTCCCCCTCCTCCCCCCTTCCCCTCCTCCTCCCCCTCCTCTTCCTCCTTTCCCTCCTCCCTCCTCCTTGCCCTCGTTGCCCTCCTCCCTGTTCCTCCTCCTCGGCCTGTTCCCCCCCTTCTCCTCTTCCTCCTCCTTCTTGCCCTTTTTGCCCTCCTCCCTGACCCTCCTCCTCCTCCTCCTCCTCCTCCTCCTCCTCCTCCTCGTCCTCTTCCCTATCCTCCTGGTCGCACGCGCGCCCCCTCTGCTCCTCGATCTCCGTCGTCAGCTTGTCGACGTCATGGCCCTCCTTGCGCCGCGGGCGGGCGGAGAGGGGGCCGACGAGAGGCTGCGGCGCAGGCGCAAGTGGAAGGGCAAGAGAAAAGGGCGGGGTGGGTGGGGCGGGACGGACGGTGGCTTGGCCAGGCAAGGCAAGAACCGCACAAGAGCCACAAGCGACCCAGGTGCCTCGGTGCACGAGGCACCGGAAATGAGGAAGGGCCCTGCAGTATCAATTGACGGCGCATCTTGGAGCGCCAGCTGGGGGGACACGGCACTTCATGTTGTTCTTCCTGCGCCGCAAGAGCTGGCCCCCTGAGTGGGGTCCCTTGCCTCGTGGGGCGCCAGCCTGGCGAGGGTGAGCGGATGGCCTCACACACGCAACGCGCGTCGGGTTTGTAGTTACCAGTCCCAGAATCCCAAGTTGAATCTCACGAGCTCGTGCCCTGTTGTTCCAAGGGCTTCGAGTCTTGAGCCGTGAGTCTTGAGAAGGAGAAGGAGGATGGGGGAGGATGAGGATGAGGAGGATGAGGAGGAGGAGGAAGAGCAGGAGAAGGAGGGGGACGAGGACGAGGAGCAGGAGGAGGAGGAGGAGGAGGTAGAGGAGGAGGCGGGGAGAGCTACAACGGCGTGCCAAGGCCGTGGCAACGTGCCAGCCCACAAGTGGCTTGCTGCGAACGTAAATCCCGCACCACACTTAGATTCCATAATCCACGTGTGCATTCACATTATTTTCTTTGCCTCCTCCCGGCCTCGCCCTGAGGCTGCGCTCATTCCCTCCTCCCCCTCTTTGTTAATTCAAGCTTCGCGCGGCCCGCTTAGCTTCGACCGGAAGAGGTGCGCTCTCGACCCGCGAATCAACAAACACTTGTGCATTCACATTCGATTTCCTTCACCTGCTGCACATTGATCATGCTGCCCTCGCCCTCGCGCTACGCAGCACAACACGGCACGGTACTTCTTGGCCAAGCGCCACCGCGCCATCGACACCTGCATCGCACGCCAACGCTTAGTTGCGCCACTTGCACAGCCATGTTTGCCAAGCGACTCCACCCGGACAGCAGCAGCTTGCATGCGATAACACAACGACTTCGCCGACTGCTTCTAGCCCTGCCTGGCACCGCCGGGAGAGGGAGCAGCGTGCAGCGGCCACCCAGATTCAGGTCGGGCCTGTGCCCCTACAGGGGGATTTTGGACGAAAAATTCAAAGTACATAAAGGAATACTCCAGAAATGCTCAAGCATAGTCAAACAATGGTCCCCAGGCTATTTTTTGACTATTCTTGAACATTCCTCCTGTAGAGGGGCAGGCCCGACTGAAGCCTAGACACCCGAGCTACACAACGTCCAGCTTAGCACAGGCACCCCAAGCCAAGGGCAAAGGCAAGGGGAAGCACCAACACCAACCAAAGGGCAACCGAGAGGCCACAAAGTTAAACACCCACCCGACCTCACGGCAGCCAGACCAACAGCAAGACAACACCACAGACTACCAACATACCAGCGCATCAATATACTGGGAACAGAAAACACTTGCACCACGACCACCAAGACCAACCACACCAAGACGCAAGCCCCAACAGCCGACTGCCACTCCAACAAGAAGAATCGTCTACGTACCACAACCAATATTCCGTACCACTTCCGACCACGTTGCTTACACTACAAAGGAGAACCAGGCACTCATAGACGATATACCTGAAATTCACCATAAAAAGTGCCACACGCTGACACGCCAAGAGCTACACCCATTGAAGCCGGAGCTTGGCATACTACCGAAGCGGCAACCCTCGCAAGCTGACCACACAAGTACTGGCAATAGAAAACGCTGGCCAAGATGCAAGCTCACTCCGACCACGATTAGCAGTCATCAAGAGGCAACTGCTAGACCCGAAACCTCAAGCAGAGAGACTACACTACATAAGACGACTGATTGGGCGACTACACAGCATGCACCAAGGTTTCAGAGGCCACCGTCAAGAACGAACAGACGAAACGCAACGACAACAGGCACACGACAAAGACCTATACCAACTTAGAAACAGAGATGCTCACCGATAGACAACATACACCGAGTCCAGACCAATGAGCACAGGGCGAACAGCTCAGTAGCTACCCAGTCGAACGTCCACCAGTTGACCCACACAAGACGGCCAAGCAGAACTCAGCAAACGAGCAAGAGACGCTACGACTCAAGAACCTGCTACAAGCGGCATGCGACAAGCTCAAGGCCAAAGACTGGACCATGGAGGAACTCACAGCAGCCCAACAGGACAAGCTGAACCACAATAAGACAGCACAAGTGCACGACTGCAGACTGCAGAAGACACAGTACAACAACTACAGGGCGCTAGCGACAAACTCTCAATCGACTACCACGAAGCGAGAGAAAGCCACAAGGAGCTACGTCGGACAGAGCAACGTCTTCAAGCAGGACAAGAAGAAAGACTACGACGCGCAGAACCAGCACAGCACGACAGGAACACAACAACCCGACAGCACGAACAACGACTGCATCAACTAGAACGCAACACCGAGCAAGCCATGCGTACCAATCACAACGTAAAAACATCCAAGCCACATGTTAATACTACATGACGGCCCACCAAGCACAACACGACTTCTACCACAGGACAGAGGCCACCATCTCAGCATTCCGGCCAGAACCACAAATACATTAAAACCAGCGAATCGAGAACCCGGGGAACTTAGCAGTCGGCCGACATGATTCTGCAATTCTATAAGCGGAGAACATCACATTATAACGCATGCAACAACAGCTGCACTCCATACGCCGCCACTACATACTACAACATGAAGAGCACGCACAACACACAGTAAGCTGGACCATACCACCTCATAGCTGAGAACAACATACACGCCCTCAAGCAAGACGTAGCCCACGAAACACAACAAACCAAATGGTAAGCACTGCAGCACAAGAGTTACGAAGATAAGTACGACTCATATATGGCGCAACGCGAGCAAGCACAGGAAGCATTCGTCAAAGAAACCATGGCAGCACAAGAAGCAGTACACGCTGCACAACGACTGCACCAAGCAATCTTCTTACAACATGCAAAGACCAAGACGCAACACACCTCATTATGGCAAGCGCAAGCGAGTCAATCCACAGAGCCAACCAGCCTACCAACTACGCATTCACACGACAGACCAGTGCCAGCATGGCACTGACACCAGACAACGCAGATGCAATCTGA